TGAACCAGAAGATCAGGTTACAAAGGAGTAAAAGGATGAATTCTGTTTTGTTTCTGTGGGTTTTGCTCATTGTTCCTTAGCAAAGAATCTGAACTGATATGCAGTCTGCTCTTTATCATAATGAAATAAACTTTAAACAAATGTCATCTGTGTTACTGGAGTGGAAACAGTGATCTAAGAACATGATTTTATGCAAGAATAGCCTTATATTTAAACTAACAAAATGATTAACTTGGGTTAATACTGGTTTAATTCTTGCAAAAAGTCTATCTTGCCTTTTTTCCAGTGATGCTTTCTTAATAAAAGCTACTGTACAAACAAAAAATGGACTATGAAATGCGAAATATACATTTTTGAGAGGACTGGAAAGCTTTCAAAGGTTTGTGTAAGGATTGAGTGACCAGGGATGAGTAATTAGAAGCAGAAAGTGAGGATGTTCTTTGCATTAACAAGTTGCTATCTGAACTACAGCAACCTAGTGAAGTAAGGATAAGCTGTTCTGGATTTGATAGCGTTTCTGTTTGTGTTTTGTAGTATCAAGCTTGCTTCTTGTGGTGGGCTTCTTAGTTGCTTCCTACAAGTGGCAAATATATTTAATTAAGCAAACTTGATCCTTAACACTTCTTTATAACAATAAAGTCTAGATATGCTTGCTAGTTATCAATCATTTAGACCTAGCAGTTGTAGGTTACTGTTCCTTAGTTCCTTTCAGGCTTTCCATACGTAATAGCATGTCTTCTTGCAGCTGCCCAGTTATCACAAAACTGCATGCCTGTGTAAGTCACTTGATCCAATGCACGACTAAAAATACCAAGTATGCTTTCTCAGGATGTAATGTAGGAGTTGTATTTTTATCTTCTACAAAGAAATTGGACAGCTATTTCCGTAGTTCCTCTTGTCAAAAGGCTCCTTCTGTGTTTGGTAATGGCATCCTGAAATAGGAATGGTTTCTTGTGAGCCCTGTCGTGTACCAATATTTAGATTATAAGCAGGAGACTAGTTAAATTGTTAAGCTCCAAATAGGCCAAGCTTGATTCCAGTGTTCTGGATCCTACTGTAATATTTCTTGCTTTGTGGTTCTCCTAGCCTGGCTTCTCTAATGATGGGTGGAGGGGTGCCAATAAATTCAGTGCCCCAATGGTCGTGTTTACTAGAACTAGATGGCTAGAAACACGGCTTAGTTGTTGTGAATAGGGAACTGTAAACAGAGCTGTGTAGAAATAGTCTTAACATAGAAAAAGGGCTGATCAGGGTTGGACTAGAAGAATGTTGTTTGCTACACATAGTAAGTGTTGTGTATTAGCCTACCTTCAATATTTATTGCATTTCAGTCTTGATCAACTTGAAATCTATTCTTCCTCTTGCTTTATGGCATTGTTATGCTTTTTTAGCACCAAGTGCCAAGCACAAGGTCTAAATGGGTGCTTCCAAGTAACTGCTACATATTCAGGTACCAAGGAATGAAATTATGCCTTTTTCCCCCCCCCCCCCCCCCTTTATTTCCTATGGAATTGAAAGTCTCATACCTTTAGAAAAGAAACCTTTCACTTTAAACTTAGATGTATACGTGCTTCCTAAGTCACTTCTTGGAGAACATGATCCTAGGCTGGCATGTCTGTCTGCCAGAAAGAAGTGATTAGGTTGCTAATAAACTTTCCACCTGTCTTCCTCCAATCAGGACCACATTCCACAGCGAGTTCATCTGTACTTGGTTTTTTGAAGGAGTGTGTGTGTGAAATGTATGAAGCTTTATTTTTGTGCCCTAAGGCCCAGGAGTGGCTGTGATGTAAACTGCTGAAGGAATAATGTAGCTGCCAAGTTAGTACCTTCTGTGACACGGGAGTGTGAATTTCATTTTGAAGCCAATCTGCTGAGGTGTGTGTGAAATAACCTGTACTGAAAGGACTAGATGACACGTATAGTCCTGGTCATGTGCTTGACACAGTATAGATTAGTAATAAGGTAAATCGGCCTAGAGACCTGAAGAGTGATGGAATAACTGAATTGGTGTTGTCCTTGTCTTTTTTTAGGTCCTTTTGTGCAAAAGCTGGTTATTCGATCTTCAACCAGTGAAGGTTTGCTGTTGAACCTTGATGGACTTCTCCCTCAGGTAGAGAAAGAAGAAGAAAAAGAAGAAAAACACCCAGAAGATGAAGAATAAAATATCCAAGAACTTGTTAGTACATAATGTTTTCCACACTTGCTAATCAAATCAACAAGGGAAAACAAGTGGTGTAATGCAAATCTTACCCTATGAAAAGAAAAAAATAAATCAAATTTGTTTTTTAATTCCATGTAACAAGAAGCCATGTCACAAACAGGAGTCTCGTGTCAAACCTGAAGATGCTTAACACTTCCTCTGGAAGCTGAAAGCTCCCCTATTTGTGGTGTGTTTTTTCTTTGCACGTAATCTTGGAAATTCTTAAGTGTTCCCATAGTTGCAGATGCAAGGCTAGCCCCCAATACACCTATAATGCTGAGCTTTCTGCTCTGAAATAGCAGAATGTTCAGTGCTTTTGTCTACTTGACTTGGAGTCTGCAGAGAAAACTAATGCAGTCACTGGTGCCAGGCTGCCTAAATAACTCACGGACGGAACTAAGTTAGATCGTATTTACCGTTCCATTTCCCACAAAATCTGAGATGCAACTCCCTTGGCGTTGGTGAGAGTCACTTCTGCATGATGCTCGTGGAATTCCATTTTGTTCTGACTTAATCTACATACAAAGATACTGGAGAGGCAGGGGATGATTGGTTCACTTGGCATATTGAGCTTCCGAGTTCAGGATGGTCATTGCAATTAAATTGTAACAGTTTTTCTACGGGAAAAAATGGGATCTCCTATGAGAACTCTTTGTTCTTTAGGACCAGTTGGTGTGGGTCAAACCAATTAAAACAACAAACTGTCTTGCAACAGCCAGTAATGAGCATGCATGTAGTATAGTCTTAACCATTCTGGTTGATTTAATTCACTTTGGGTAGTAACTGCTGTGACTTGTAATTGCATCTACTGTGTTTCTCTCCAGCATAGTTGCTGCATATAAACTGGAGACTAGCATAAATATTCATGCATCTCTTAACTGGTTGCTTAAAAATAAGTGTTTTTTCACCTTCCTGCAGAACTTGTTCCCCAGCTTTCTCTGCATTGTTTCCAGCAGGTGGCGTTCTCCTCCTCCTCTGTGTCTGGGGGAAAGCGTTTCTTGTACTGCTTTTTGTACGCTGTTGCTAAACACATGCCAGCAGAACTGAAGCCAAGAACTTAAGATGGTTCTAAAAAGGATTGCTATTTACAAAGGTGATGAGATGACCCAAATCGGGAAGGGTGGCTTGCTTCTGGTATTTTAAATCATTCCTATTATTGGGGATGAGGCACGTTTTTTGGAGGGCATTAGCTATATTGCTCTGCTTAGAAATTCTTGCACCACCATCTGAAGCATTTGCCTGCTGTTGGTCAGGGTGCTTGGTGAATTGCTGTTAGACCACTGCTATGTTTTTAAACTATGTGGACTACTTTGTTCATAAGGGTTTGATCAGAAAATTAAGGTAAAAGGAAGCTTTGCACTGACTTCAGTAGGCTTCCTAGGCAGTATGTGAAAAAGCAGTGTCAGTACGTTTGAATAGCCATATATATAACAGCTTTCGACTATAGGCTATGCTCATATGCCTAGTAGAAAGAGAGGAATATTAAACGTATGTTATTGGAAGTGAAGGGTTGATGTGACTGGCAAAAATACTATGTCAGATAGGTTCATAGAAGTTAGCTGACCTAAAAGTCCAAACTACTCTGGTCTGATTCTAGTTATGTTGATGCTTGAAGTGTTGAGGAGGGGAAAATAACCTACAAAAATGCCTGTATCCCTGATCTACTGAGATGCAAATGAGATTGATAATTGAAGTAGCTTGTAGGTGTCTTGAGTATCGAAGTCCTTTCTTGTCTCCCTGTTCTGCAGAAGTTGCAGTAAGTGGTGAGATAAAGCTGTTTCAGGTTGCAAATGCTATTGTCCGTTCATCTCTGGCCTGTTGCACCAGGCACATTTCAGTAGGCAGGAGAGGGTACGTAATCAAGAAGGACTGTTTTGTGAGCTTGTTCAGGTTTTGGGTTTTTTCTTTCCCCCCTCTGTATCTCAAACAACTAGCTTTCCTGAGTAGTGGCTGTTGTACTTGGCAGCTCTGGTCTATGCCAGTCTAGAGGAGGAGTGTAATGCATTGTCTGCAGCAAAAGGCTTGATTATCATGAGACGTTTTACGTAGGTGATTTTTTTTTTTCTAATGACGAAACTAATAATTTTCCACAGGTTCTTCATGCTATGTGTCTAGCTTCGTTAGCTAAAGTACAGCATCGTTTACAGTGTGGTACACCATTTACCATTGTCAGTCTTTATTTCATTTGGAGGTTGTGCTGGGGAGGCATGCTTATGTGGGCAGGAAACATCAAGCTGCGGGAGGCATACTTTATTTTGAGGGCTGCCTCTTAAGTTCAGGTATTTCTACCTGTATCTCAAATGCATCACGAGCAAGTGATTAGCACTGTATTTGAGCAAAAAGGGTGTGTTATGCAAAGATGGCTTCACCCTTGCAAAGAACACTTTGAATTGCATACAGAAGTAATACTATGAGATAACATGATGCATAGTATAGGCTGTTTCTGACCCAAAGGGAACAAGATGAAGGTAAGATCTGTTGGTCTAGAAAAACAAAGCTTATGATATCAGCTCCATAGGTTCCTTGGTTTCTGCTCTAGTTTTCCTTTGCTTATTTCAAAGATTTTTTTTTTTAAATCCAGGATGGAAAAAGACATATGTATTCTTTGGAAAATGGAGAGTTTAAAAAAAAAAAAGTGATGCTTAAGCATAAATATTCAGGCACTCTTACATCATAGGTTCTCAGACTGCGGAGGATAATCTCAAGATCTTGCATGTAAGAATAAGAAATAAAAGGTAGAATACGATATTTCTGCGGACGTAATTTATAAGTTTGAACACTACGTTAATACTGTAGATCTGTGACGCTCTGGAGAGCAGGAGAGCAAAAATGTAGCAAATATGCTTAGTTTTTCAGTTGCGTTTGGTTAGGTATAATCCTGCAGTTCTTAATGCATGTTAGGAAATTGTTATAGCAATAATGCCTCTGGCCTCTGTAATGCTAAAACAGCATTATGTGGTGTGTATACACGTGGCAATGTTTGTATTCTGAAATGCTTGATGGACACAGGGAGAGATGGAAGGAAGAAGCCTCATGACTATTCCTGTTTAATATTCCTGTTTAATAAGCTTAGTCCTAAAACCTGCTGGGTGGGGATTGTTGTACATGTGTTTCTTGTGCCAAAATGTGTTAAACTAGTGCTATTGTTAGAGTAAGCGTAACTAAAAGGGCATCGCTTTCTTCTAGAAATACTGGTGTACTCCTTGCTAAATGTAGGGTTGTAATATTTTAGTGGTTTCTGATAATTGTAACACTATATAAATCAGTTGTTGATCTCTCCTAAATGTTAGGTTTGTGTACGTGATAAGAGACAGCCTGTTTCAGGAGTCTCCTTTAATGACTTTTTAATACTCGTTCATTAGGTAAATAGCGCAGATCTTGGATCAAAAGCAAAACGGCAGTAACCCAGGGGCTGGCTACGTACACATACATCTGTGGTGAAGCAAGGAATGATGTGTCACAAAGCCTTACCCAGATGGTGGTAATTGCTTTTATGTGATGTTACCTGGAGTAAATGGAAAAGCATTTCAAGTAAGTTATTCCTTAGTGAAAAGTACTTTGCCCTCAGCAAGAAGAGATGTCTGGGAGGGTAGATGGTAGGCAGTCTTCCCATATACCATGCAAGTGAAGAATGCCCTTCAGGCTGTCCTCTCCAAAAGGGCTTGGTGTTCTTTGCTGCAGTCACCCTTCCTTATGCTCTCGTCTCATTTTTTAGCAGCACAATCCAAGCTATGCTGAATTTGGTCGACAGTCTGTCTTCATCTAAAAATGTTTCTTGAGGAAGAATTGGGTTACAGCTTCTAAGGTCACAAGCTCTTTGCCTCTAAAACAGTGGTTATAAGAAAGCAGGAGCTGACATACGGGCTGGGTATCCCGGCTATTTATATGAGTATTGAGAAAAGCCACAGCATGGGCCTATGGAAAGAGTACTGCAATGTATTTAGTAATTCAGATAACGTATGATTGTTTTTTAAATTATTCTATGTGAAACTGCTGTTAGCTATAATGAAGGAGAAGCAGGCAATGAACTCTGATTCACACTTGCTGCTAACAGAAGAGTGTGCCCAAAACAAGGAAGAAATCAAAACAGAGGCCCACAGCTGTGGGGGGTGAAGGGGTCTGACACTCAGCCTAAACCTGAGTGTGTGCAGGAGTTAGTTGCATTTAGGGTAACTTCAATCTGTTTGGATCAAACTAAGTTCACAGACCTTTGACTGAAAATTATGGCACTGAGGACAACTTCCAAGAGCTGGATAGAGATGTTGCAAATGCCACCTACAAAACGAAGCCAGCAAGAAGCCAGCAAGACCAGCCTCTCCTTTCAGTTTTTTTCCAGGGTGTTTTCCAGGTTGCTAGCCATTAGTTAACGTTGGTCCCATCATTGTTGTTCTGCAGTTCTGTAACTGAACGTAGCCTCCAAAAGGTCAAGTAGGACCAGCCTTGTATACCTTCTGAATTTAGCTAGTCACATATGGACTATCTTTCATTAATTTTCCCAGGGTTAGAGCTGCTAAGTCCTGCTGTGTGCATGCTCTGCTCTAAAAGTACGCTGGTTTAATGTATCAGGTTGAGCACTTAAATTTGAGGCAAACAAAATTGCTGGGGTAAAATCTTGACCTGATGCAAAGCCTGTCCACATGTTATCAGTGACTAAATCTGTTCAAACATCTAATTGTGCTCACATGCAGCATGATGTTTCTGAATGCTGAGACAGGCTGTATCTCCCAAGTGCCTTGGCATACATAGGGACGGTGAGAAGGTGAAAGAAACGGTGTTGTGGCTTGCAAGGTACCTGTTTACAGCACACAAGGGGACAGCGTGGGGAAAGAGGAATGCTGTTTTGAGCACCATCTGTACCAGAAGGTCCCCCTTCACTTACAACACTGGTAAGAAAAACAGCGTATTTAAAAACTGGAGAGAGAGGGTTGGCGGAAGACGGAGATCCGGCTGGCGTGGTTGCTTTTATATTCTGCAGTACCATAGCTGTTGCCAAGCTGGGTTGTGGCCCTTGTACTTTGAGTGAAGCTATTCTGTGGCCTAATTCTGTCCGTGTGGTACAACTTTGACTTAAATGGAAGGAGAATAATGAAGCCAGTCATAACTGTCTGACTGAAAAATAATGTTGGGGATGCACCTTCCCCCCCCCCCCCCCCCCTGGTTGGTCCCTTTTCTTC